ACTTGAAATCCCAATTTTTTACCTGCATATATAATTGTGTGTTTTGATGCCCACTCTGGCCATCTCTCTGCAAGTTAATTCTTGAAATCTTTCCTGTTGATAGTCATAATCGAAGAATAAAGTACAGAATTAGCACTTCTGTACTCAGAGTGCAATTATTGACTAATATTGACTAGATCAAGGAGCTGGGTAACGCTAGTTGTGTCAGGTAGAGTGATGAAAAGTCAAATATTTTTGCTTCTAAAAAATGTCAATACATCACAATCAAATCTTGAAGAATGAGTATCAGATAGAACAATAACAGGTCGTTTTATATTGCTTTTTTCTAAATAGTGGTCAAACATTTGATATGTACTTAAAAGTCTATTGCGATTTTGACTGCCACTGTTATTTGTGGAAAGTAGGAATTCGTTTAACTGCTTCTTTTGAAGCCATAGAAGCAATAACCCATTTTACCTTAAACATGTGGCTTGGTAATATATCTCCTCTAAAAGAAACGAAAGGATGGTTACACATTCTCTATTTTTTATTATCATCTTTTGATAACTTTTCTCAAACAAACTAAAATATTTGGAGTGCCATCAACTCTATAGTTTACAAACTGGGGGGTTTCATCATGATTGTAAAGTCAAGTGGTATCAATATCTCCCTGCCAAACACTTATTTTATTCCTTTTAACTGTTTATAAGAAAATAATTTTATTTCTCAATCATGCGTATTACCTATTCTTGTTTTTTATATAAAAGACTAGCGACTTTTTCTCATATTTGGTAAAAATTAAACAATATTCTTTCTCTCACACTCTCGACATGGTTTCAATTTCAATGAAACCATGTCACTTATTAACTGTTCTTAGATCTTTAACTTGTGTGAATTTTCCTGAACTAATCAACTGTATTTATTACTGATTCGACACCACTCAACTGCTTCATTTGAATTCTTGTTATTCATCTCTATGACATATCTTATTTCCCATCCCTATCAATATTGTATCTTGATTTATTATTTGGTTTAACTCTACGATTAAAAAACTTTCCCATTTCTTATTTATTCACAACTCCAAGGGAATATCAAAACACACTTCCATACTCGCATTTTACTTTAGTAAACACACTTTAATTTTCAAAGCAAACAAAGAAAACTGACTAATGTGTGTTTTGAAGGAGGTTTGATAATAGAACTATACAGAGGTATACTGTAGGCAAAATATTAACTTAATAACGTCGAGAAGAAATAGAATAAAAATATCTTTATTTTTTATTTAATTAAGTTTCATTCACTTTGCGTTCTGAGGTTTCTTAAGCAAGCATTTTGTAGTAGAATATAAAATGTAAAAAAGGTAAGTAAACCAAACATTTAAAAATATACTCAGCAGAAAAAATAATGCTTTTATGCAGGAATTTATGATTTTCGAAACAAAATTAGAAGCATTACAACCAATTATTTAACATGACATTCTGATCTTAAATATTTATTTAAAGACATATGAAAGTAGTACCCCCCAAAAAAAAAAAAAAAAAAAATTAAAACTTTTGGTATTCTAACAGGAGTATTTTGTCTCTTAAAAGTAAAAATGGCTGCCTAAATATTTTGTCTTAACCAGGATCTTAAAACACCTAACATTCTGAGGTCCTTTCACCTGTATAGTTTTATGGTCTAATAAAGGTCTCTTGCTTAAAGCAAAATGCATTGATTTTTATAAAAATACATACATCAGGTTATGTAGCTGTTGGCATAACAGAGTGTACATACATAGACGAAGAGTTTTGTTTTATGTGCTCGTAAAAAAATCATATAAAATACACTTTTTCTCAAATTGAAAACTTAAGAAAAAGTATGTGTTTTGTATACTTTTTTAAATTAAAAAAGTACACAAAACACATACTTTTATATTTTCTCTTTAACACCCGTAAATAAATTACAGGTAAAATAAATTATAATAAAAGTCACCAATTAAATTAAAATCAGCTAAAACGACACGGCTCTTATAGGTGTTAGTATTAGATGCTAATAACCAGGGGGTGTGTTTTCCACAAATTATTGGATCAGACATCTCGAAACATTCTCCTCCATCAAAATTTTAAACAACTCTCTCTTTTCTTTCAAATTGCAAAACTAGAATGTTTCTTTCAATATTGACACAACATCAGCTAGCAGGTCATCGATAGGTTGCGTGAATTTAATTTTTTTGTTATTTATCATGCACTGAACGAAGTTTAAACCAAGTGTGTTGCAGCCTTCAAACACTTCATTTGTAAGGAAATTTTTATTCTGTATTGCCTGTAATTGATTGATTATCAGTGAATAGCAAGTTTGATTTTTCAACAGCCTGATAAAAAGATTTACTTTGTTTCTAAGCAGAATAGTTAAAATAATCTCAATTTATAAGAAAATCATAAATTCCGTTTTCTCAGAGTTAAGCTTGATAAAGTTTGCTACTCCATATGTTTAAAATCTGTTTATCAGTGCTTGCAGACCAGAGATTGTAGGAATTAGCAACATTACATCATCTGCGTATGCAAACGTGAATGCGTATATAAATGCGGCAATAGAATAGACGCTTGTCGCACCCCTTGTGATAGACTAAATTGATTTTAGGTAACTCCTTGATAGAAATTATGAATTAAATATATGAAAAAATTTCTTTGCATTTTGTAAGATCCGTTGCCCACCATGATTTGAAATATTTACTGATTTCGCGTTGTTTAAAGCACTGCTTAAATGCTAATAGAGCAGCATTTTTGATTTTTTCGCATGTTTGTTTTAATTCTTGTTCAACTTTTTCTTCATTGAAAGTGTAGTTATTGAAAGCTATGGAGAGGTTATAATTATACAAGTTAATGAAGTTTTCGTTATTCTATGCATATTTTGGAATATGATTATATTTATGCATTATGCTATTTATTATACGGTTGATAGATTAGTATGTGCAATGACGATACATGTAGTGATTGGTAAGTGATCATTAAAATTAGAAGCCAAAGGGGAAAAAACTTGATAGGTGAAAATGTTGATAGGTGTAAGTTGGACCAGCGCCACTGATTACATCAGTTAAAGAGAGTTTATTTGATTTAATGAAATTAGTTAGATGATTCGAGAATTTGTTGCGTGTTTTATTATAACGATTTTCAGAATCGTAAACTGTTTTCGGATATGATTGAATATCTCCAGCAATAATACATTTACTTACATCTTCGTAGTTTTTTTATGACTGAAGTAATTAGGTTTAATTGTTGTATGTACTTTGAAAGGGATTCCTCGTTATTTCAACATGATGTAAGATAAATACCGATAAAGACTAGATTTTGGCATTCTTGTTTTCCTTTAATAGCGATAATATTATCATCTTTATAAATGCGAGGACCATCTTTTTAACAATAAATGCGTTTCCTCTAAATGGTTTCCATATGCCTTTTTTTCTGTCGCATGAAAAAATACTTTATGTGTCGGCAATGCTATGCTTTTTAGCAAAAACATTTCAATATTCAAAAGTTCATGTTCCGATAGAAAGATAATATCAAATGATTTGACGAGTTCGGAAATATAAATTGAGTTCAATTTTTTTCTCTACAAAAGCATGCATGCAGACTTATATATATAAAAAAAATATGAACATGCAAAACCATTAATGGAAGACATGTAAATGATGAATATATTTGAAATCAACATTTACCAACACCTAATTTTTATGTTTAAATGTAACAATAGCTTGATTCCAAAAAACTTTAATGATAAATTTACAAAAAATGTAAATAAAAAGTATTCTCGTAGAATAAACCAATGGAATACTTATATATGACCAAGAATTAGTAGTAAGTATTCTGAATATGGAGCACTTTCATACCGCGGACCAAAACTATGGAGCACTTTTCAAAAAACAAAAAATTTAAATACTATAAAATCATTAAGGTCGTTTAAGTTTATAATAAAAAATGAAATTTTTAAATTAAATAGTTTTCTTGATTTTTCGAAATGAAAATCGAGTTTTTTTACTTGTTTAATTGGCTCTTATTTTGATATTTAACAGAGTTGCCAGTATATTTAAACGAATATTGATAAAACTATATGATATTATTTACTTTCTTGATTTAATAGAAATATTTATGCAAGCTTAACTTTTTTATTATATTGGAGATCCTATTTTTTTAACTTGTAAAGCCCACCTAGGGGCTCTATGAAAAGATTGCGGTGATTTTAGTCATCTGTATCTTCTTTGAGCCCCTGCCTGTTTTTTATAAATCCACTTTTTTTTGTATGTAAACGTTTCTTTGTAATTATATTTCTTATTATATAAACAGCAAGTTTACAGGGTTTAATAAGCAAGTTAACAGGGTTTAGGACTATGTCTTTTTTAGTACTTTTTATTTTCACTTTAAATGAACGATTGTATTTATTTTCACGGTCAAGTGACACTACATCAGTCGGTTCGATACCTATTTAAAAAAAATAATAATAATAATAATAATAATAATAATAATAATAACAATAATAATAATAATAATAATAGTAATAAAAAAAGATTCCCAGAACAAAAAATTCACCCGACTGAATTTTATCTAATACCCGACTATTTTCGGGTATTTCAATTTTATCAAATACCCGCAAATTTAAAATAAGATAATATTATTTGCGGTTATCATATTTATAATTTTCGCAAAACTTATTAGACAATTACTTTTAAAAGCTGTTTATGCAATTTCGTCAAATGAATAAGGAAATAAAATTTGTTTCATTGTATGACGCAAGTGTAATAACTTATTTTATAATATGAATCTGAAACAAGGAACTGTGGGTAAAAAACATGTTGTGTCTTTTTTATAATTATAAATAACCAGGAAATTGGATTATTATTTTAAAAATAACTTTTCAATACTTTTGCGTTTTTTCGCCATCGAGAAATTTAATTGAAAAATAAAATAACTGAAGTTAAAAAACGGAAAAGAAAATTTTTTATTTGTTTGGTAATTAACGAAATTTCTTTTTAATTTAGATTTTAACAAATGACTGACAGTCAACGAATAAATTGTTTAGCAGTTGAAGGAAGCGAACCGAGTAAAAATGCTTTTAATTGGTATCTTAAAAACTACCACCAAGATGGCGATTTGTTAATCATAATTCACGTTTATCAAATGGCAACATTAGATACAACAAAAAATAACTATTCGCAAATTGTTGATAAAATAGAGAGCAGCGTAAAACTCAGCAACAGTATTGTTAACTATTATACAGAAATTTGTAAAGAAAAGAATATAAAGTATAAAGCTGTTATTGAAAGCAATAATCCAACAACTGTAGCAGGCAAAGTAATATGCGAATCAGTTAAAAGAAACTTAGGAAACGTTATAATTCTTGGTCAAAGAGGTTTAAACAAAATTAAAAGGTATTCGGTAGGTAGCACAAGTGATTACGTATTACACCAATCTGACGTTCCAGTCGTTGTAGTTCCTTGTGACAAAGCATACTAAACATAGTTGTTAATTGCATTCTTTTTTTTAAATAAACTGTCCCTTTTTTGAAAAAAAATTGTATTTTTTCCTTCTTTTTTTTAAATGGTATTTATTTCCTGACTTATTTATACTTGTATACTAATTATTAACTAATTTTCTTTTTGTTCTTCTTTTTCTTTTTTCATAGCTCTTTTTGCAATGATTTTAATCAGAATTATATTAGGTGAATTATATTAAGTATAGAATTAAATTTTAATTTCTGTTTAAGTGAAATTTAAGTAAGAATTACTATATGCTAAAAAAAATTCAAAACTCATTCTTTCTTGCAGTCGTTTTTTCCTAATTTTATGCTCTATATCTTATTTACAATACAGAACGCGAGACAAACTAATTATGCTTACATCTAATTAATTACTTCCATTTAAAAAAAAATGCAGGTAACTTGAATAACTGAGATAACTTCATTAGAGCATTGTGAGTCCCAGGATTGAAATTTCAAAGTTTAATAAAGTTGTACTTTTTTTTCACTGCATTATAACAACATTGTATAATTTTCATATATTATAAACTAATTAATTTTCAAAAAATACAGTTTGCAGTAAGATTAACCTTTTTTTAATATGTCAACTGTTACAAATAATGGTTGTCGTAAATAGCAATTAGTAAACTTTCAACTTAGTTTCTTTCATTTTCATTTTAGTTATTGTTTCCAGGCTCCAATTATTGTAATTTTTTGCTTTTCAAAAATTTTTTCAAAAATAAAAACGAAAGTATTCAAAATGGTTTGCTTATTCTCATTGGTATATATCCTATGCTGAAATTATATTTAGTAACGGATTTTAGCAAGTAGTTTCTAGCTAAAATCCGTTACTAAATATAATTAGTAACGAATTAATTTTTTTTAACCTCTAGTTTTCTCATTTTTTTTTTTTAACCTCTAGTTTTTTCATTTTTTGGGAAAATAGCTGGAAACTATACATTATCTTAGCTTTTGAAACTTATAAATCAATTTAGATCTGTGTGCACCGCTGAAGCGTTTTAGTTTTTTAGTTTTGTATGGCTTTTTTTTAAGATTTACTTCAAGAAAATATCTGTAATGTATAATTATATTCCATAGTTTTCAAATAGTCCTTCTGTAAAGTTTATGGAAAACTTATATTTTTATTTTATTTTCAAATTTTTAAATTAAACAAAGCAAACAAGTTTTGAGCAACAATATCGAGACTTGGGTAATCAAGACTTAAAAAACAGATACTATTTAAAGACTGTTTGCTTGAAATAAAAACGCCGTAAGTTGATGTAAGTGTACTCAGTGTCCCTATTGCTAAATAACTAATTTGATAAGTAATACGCTATACATGATAATAAAATAGTAACACATAATAAAACGTTTCTAATGACTATATGTTTGAAACAGAGTTGATCATGTCTGCCTGGAGCAAAGTAACTTTCTGCCAATTTTTTAAGGCGGTGGAACCCATTGGCGTGGCCTCCCAAAAATTTCACGCTTGTTTTTAAATGGAAGAGCATTTTAATTTTAATTAGGTGCAAATATTTGGAAATTTTACACCAAAGTTGCGTTTTATATCATTTATTGCAAATATTTGACGATTTAAAAAAATTAGGATTTTTGCAGTGTTTTTCTCTTATAAGACTATCGAATAAATTTTATATTTAAAACAAAAGTTAAAAATTGGTGACTTCAATTCCGTGCTTATGTGCTAAAATATAAATTTAACAAAAAAAAACAAAACAAATTATAATAAGTAATTAAATTGTCAAATTTTTTTCGAAAGAGACGTCAATGTAAAACGTTTTTTTATTTTACTAGAAAATTAAGAGGTGCCTGTGACGTCCGTTTTAGCAATCATTTACATTTATAAATTTTAATAATTTTGAGATCAATAGTATAATAATTGTTTAAAATATTAAATTACTAAGACTAATCTCTTAGCGTTCAAAAAAACAAAAAGTGCTGCATCCGCTCTTTATATTTACTTTATATTTAGATTTAAGGTGGTAGACTGCTAAAAAAGTGAGAAAAAAACGATTTTTCAAAAGTGGCATTGTTTTAAACAGTAACTGATGTAGAGTCTAAAAATATATAAATCTTCGTATGAGAAAAAAAATTTAGGACTAATAAAAGTGATTTATATTAGTAGGGTAATTTTGTTTCCCCTAGCAACGCTCATAGCAACCGCTAGTTAAGGTTAGTAATAAAAAAAAAAATTAAAAAACAAAGAAAAAATTTTAAAGCAACTAGGAAAGGGTTTGATAAAAAATTAAGAAGAGCAGTTTATAAAAAAGGGGGATTTTAATAAGTTTGTATATTCAATATTTTTAATTTTATATGCTTTTTTCTTTGTTTTATTCTTCTAATTTTCCGGCAAAAATTGCAGGAGCTGTAATTGTCCAATTGACTTAAAATTTTGTACAGAGATTCATTATAATAAGCTTTATGTCCTGAGATAAAAAAAATTTAGAATATAAACTTTTAAAACAACAAACTTTTTGTTCTTAATATCAGAAATTAGATGATTAATTGGGCGCTTTGAAAAATCTAACGATACTTTAAAATAAAGAAATTTTCAACAAAAATTTTTATCTCAGGACATTTATCTACATAAAACAAATAAAAATACAAAAAATTAGAACTTAATAAATTATACTTTTTGAGATATCTTTGCCAAGATTTTAGCCTGTTTTTGGCCTAAAATCACCAGTTTTAGCCCAAAATATATATGAAAAAAAAAAAAATTAAAAATTATGAATTTTCTAATGTATTTATCATGTTCGAAGTAAAAAAATTTATTGAAATATTGTAAAATACAAAAATAATTTTTTTAGCAGTCTACCACCTTAACAAAAACAAATTTTTTGTCATAAAAATTTAAAAAAAAATTGTTTTCAAAAACGTTATATGAGTTGGAGTATTTCACTCTGCTGTACTTCTTGTTCAGCCTAGGGGCAAAATGTTAGATTAAATATAATTGAGATAAGGCCAACAGCACAAAAACTTGGGCTAGTTTTACCAATAAAGTTGGTTTATAAAATCAAACTAATCTCTGAGTAACTCAGTGCTGAAAAACAGTTGAAAAAGTGTTTGCATGGTAAGACATAAAATGTTAACAAAAGTTTTACTGGCAGAAACTGGAAACTTAAACAAAAATTCTTCAGTCGTTACAATTTTGAGTATTTGGTTGAAAAGCTTCAATTTTAATCTTCAAATTTCTGGACGATTCTGAGAACATATACAATTAAAGATTGTAAGAACGTAAACCATAAATGACTTTTACGTGGCAAATAAATTTTTTTTAATTCAAACATGATGTGACGAAAAGCTATTTGTCGTAAAAAAAAAGAGAAAAAAAGAGGAAAAAAAAAAAGAATAATAGAGAAAAAGGGAACTTTTATGAATTATGAGGTTTTTCACTACTTTCTTTAATACCATCTTAAGAGCCTTTTTATCAATTTTTAAAAAAATTTGAGGAGTTGTTTCTTTTACTAAAAGCCCTGTTTTAATAGAACAGTTTTTTAATCTGAGGTTTATTATTAAGATCATTTGAATTTTTTGAACAAAAAATAATATTGTCATTTTTAATTAAAGATAGCGAAATTATTGCACACTTAAGAGTGCAAAAAGAGCTCAGACTTTTACTTACAAAAAAATGCTTCCATAAAATTTTATGGAAGCATTTTTTTTGCGTGTTTTTAAAAATACGCGTTATCATTTTATAAAGCATTTGCTAAAAGGTTTTAAATAGATCTTGTGTCGTTATTTATTTTTTCGACCATTTTTTTTGAGTTTTTTTGTTTTGTTTGCTAGAACATCGAAAGCTATATATATATATATATATATATATATATATATATATATATATATATATATATATATATATATATATATATATATATATATATATATATATATATATATATATATATATATATATACATATATATATATATATATATATATATATATATATATATATATATATATATATATATATATATATATATATATATATATATATACATATATATATATATATATATATATATATATATATATATATATATATATATATATATATATATATATATATATATATATATATATATATATATATATACAGTGCGGTGCAAATTTATAACCTCACCAAAAAATCAAGTTCTTACAAATAATTAAATAATCATTTTTAAATTATTCAATTGCTTAATATCTTACTTGATTAATATTTCATTTGTAATAGAGTCTGGTTTCATTTCGTTAACTGACTTGAAAATTTCAGAAAAATTATGGTGCAAAACTATAACCTCATTTTAATTTTACTTTACAAAATTCCATAATGTTTTGTATTGCTACTTGAATTTTTTATTAGTACTTTGTTTTATTGCCGCCATTCTGAATAACTTCAAATATTCGATTAGGCATACTTTCCGAATGTTTTCTAAGATCTGCAAGAGATATGTTCTTCCAAACATGAACAATTGCCTTTTTTAATTCATCGACATTCGAATATTGTTTCCCTTCTGCATAAACACGTCTTGCTAAGATGCCCCATACATTTTCGATGGGATTTAAATCAGGTGAGAGCGCTGGCCATTCTAATAATTGAATTTTCTTGCTGGTAAACCATGAGATATTTGACTTTGCTCTATGAATCGGAGCATTATCTTGCTGGAAAATGAAATTGGTGTTACCAAATTTTTGTATAATATCATTCAAATGACCATTCAACAAGTTTCTATATCCTTCTGCATTTAACTTAGTAGTAATAAAGCTAATTGAAGTCTTTCCAAAATAACCGAACGCACCCCAAATCTTTACTCCTCCGCCTCCAATAGCCCTTCTTTTTGAAAATATTTCCTCTTTTCTTATGTCATGCCAGTAGTAATTGAAGCCGTCTGGACCATCAAGATTGAATTTTTTTTCATCGGACCACACAATTTTTCGCCATTCTTTTTCCCAAGTCATGTGGTCCTTGGCCCATTGAAGACGAATGCGTTTGTGCGCTTCAGTTAGTGCTGGAGATGTGCGTTTTTTTGCATATCTAAGAATGCCTGACTTGTTAATTGCACGATTCACCGTCCATCTTGAGCAGTTCAATCCCAAAACAGCGCCTATTTTTCTCGCGGAGATTGTACGGTTACTAGCAGCATGCACAATTCGTTGCTGTTGGCGAGCTGTAAGTATAGGTTTTCTACCACTTCGATGCTTCGTGCAATAATTTGTTGGATCATTTACAAAATTATTGATCAAACGTGGTGAACGTCTCAGTTTGCAAGCAAATGGCCTGTTTGATAAACGCAAAAATCTGTAGGCTTCGATCTTGCCTTTTTCTTCATCGGAGAGTTTATTTCCTCTTGGCATTCGTTAGAATGTTTTTTATAATTTTTAAATGTAATAAATTTTATTTGAAAACGGAATTTACTACTATTTTTTAACAACTTTTGATGCAATTTAGATAACGAGGTTATAATTGTGCACCACGGTTTTAAACGGTTTAATAATTTGAGTTAATTAAAGTACAAATAGATTCATGTAAATTATTTTGTATATTTCAAAAAATGATCTACAAATAGAATTTGATCAACAAACTTTGAAAGATAGTTTTAAGGTGACTATACAGGTGAGGTTATAATTCTGCACCCCACTGTATATATATATATATATATATATATATATATATATATATATATATATATATATATATATATATATATATATATATATATATATATATATATATATATATATATATATATATATATATATATATATATATATATATATATATATATATATATATATATATATATACACACATATATATATATATATATATATATATATATATATATATATATATATATATATATATATATATATATATATATATCCAAATTTTAAAAAACCGGATATCCAATCCGGTTTTTTAAAATTTGGATTCGGATTTAACCGAACCGGATCTGATATCCGGTTTTTCTCACCCCTAGTTAAAACTTCCGAGTTGGAAGTTTTAACTTGGGGTGATTTTAATTAGTCTATTCCGGATTACCTGTTATGCTCATCCATATTTGGAAGTTCTAACTACAGATTTTAAAAGTTTTTGATATAAATATTTGATACATACGTATTATAATACAAACAGAACGTTAGTTCTTTATTTTTCACAAATTGACTGGCAAATAGGTAGATCATGCAAGGAGTGTATATACATCGACCAGGGCCATCCTGGTCAACAATGTTTTTTAAAAAAATTTTATTTTTTGTGGAGGGATTTTTTCTCCGGGGGATTTTTTCCTAGAACCCTTTTCCCCCTTAAACACTTTAAAGTTTTTAGCGTTTAAAAGTTTACAAGAATTGAGCATTTAAACGTTTCAATTATTTCAGCAACTTTTCTCACATCAAAGTGAATAGCAAAATTTTAACTGACGTCATCAGATTTAAAATCTTTACGCACTTTTAAATAAATGTAGTTGTGAAATGACGCTATTTATAGACGTGTTTGTCAAACTTAAATCTCCTCCGTATATTATTTGGTCCGATTAAAGCGCGTTTTTATTTTTAATACAGTTGCAAAAAATTAAATTTTTGAAAAAAAAAAAAAAAACTTTGTAAAATTTTTGAGTAATGGAAAAAATTCCATACAAGCCAACATCAGAATTGTATTCTTCAATTATTTTTGCAATATCTGATAATTAAAAATAAGAATTTAACGTTGCGACCTAAAAATAAAAGTAATATAATTAAAAGTTGAGACCGTAACGTTAAATTCTTAATTTTAATTATTATAATAATTTTAAATATTTATTTAAAAAAATACAAGTCGGAGATCTTAGGCTCTTTTACATTTTTAATGCCGCTATTGTTTTAATTTAAGGCTCTACGAGGGAAATCTTTTTTGTTTTGTTTATTAGTGAAATTTAGCATTGCGTAATTTATGAACGCGATCCCTAACTTAAAAACAAACGTGAATAAATATCGTCGGTTTGCAAAGGAAATGCTCTACTCAGGTTGTTTAAGGCCAGTCCAAATTTTTAAGGTAGTTCGACTTACCTTCTAGACATTTCTTTTAAATAATTTTTTTTTTTTAAAGTTGTTGTCTTAACTGAATAATACTTAAATAAGTTGTGCAAAGTTAAAAAAATTGTTATTGACGATAATATGGAGGTTGACTTAAATTGTCCTTTAACTAAAAGATGAATATATGATAAAATAAGCAATTAAATTGATAGTAACAAATTTTCTAGTTATATGCAACCTAAACGACATTGGTATTGTATTCTACCATTTATCCATAATTTTATCTAGAAGGTCAGGCAGAAAATCCGACGTTTTGTCATTTCTTACAACGAAAAACTCTTAAATGTCGGGAATTCGGTAATACTTAACGGTTTATACTTAATGGCTTTTTGATGGGTCGTAACAACAGAATTAATTTGTCGGGTAGATTAATAATTCGTAATATTTAAGATTTGAACAATAAATAATATGGTTTGTTATGAATTCATTATATGATAATTCATAGCATGTTAAGTACTCATGATATATATTTGAAAAATTATTAATTGCTGAAAAAACCTTCTTTTTAAGTCTAGAAGTCACCGCTATATTGTAAAACAACGTTTTAAAATTATCTCGCGAGAACTGAACGACAAATTAATACGTCACCCGCAAATAATCGAAGTAAACCCGAGACTGGCCTTAAACAATCTGAGTACTTCACTTTAAGATAATGAACAAATAAGTTTTTGCGTAATAATTGAAATAAAAATAATAACTTATTAATAATCGATTTATTAAATTTGTGTGATATATCAAACGATAAAGAAATTAAAATACTAAATAATGGTATATATAACTCCATACTGCCAAAAATGGACATAGTGCATTTCCATTCTATACCGACGTTGGCAACCAAAAATGGCTTCTACTTCTCAATTCAAAACAGTCTGTCTCCAAAAAAGTCTGGTTTATAAACGTTTTTAGTTTTTCGCAGAGGGATCGAATATTTCGGATAAAGCTAATAAAGCAGACTTTAAACTGAAGACAAAAGCTGAAGTGAGTAAGGTGAAGGAAGACCTAAACCTAAATATTCATTTCTTTTTAAACATAATTTTTATTTTATAATTTTTATTAAACCTATTTATAATAACTTTTTAAAAAATTTATATTTTTTTATTTAGAAGTTAATATATTACTTGTAGACATATTACGGGTATGTATGTATGTATGTATATAAATAAATTTACAAAAAAAGAAAAAAAAAATTCAATTAGTTAAAAAATATTGAACTGACTTATCGAGGCGTGAATTCACCTTAAGAAAAGCTTAGTGCGCAACTACTTTATACGAGCCAATCACATATTGTTTATCACATTTATTTCTAAAACCGCAACACATAGTAATTACAACAACATCCCACTTAATAAATCGCTTTTTTATTTACTTGTATATGAACATAAAGTTTTTTGCATAAATTGATTTAGAATGGATAGTGTAGGAAAAGTAAACTGTATAGCTGTCGATGGAAGCGAATCAAGCAAGCACGCGTTTAATTGGTATTTAGAAAATTTTCATAATAATAATGATACATTAGTTATATTACACGTGACTGAAATTCCACGAATGGCATTAATGGGGCTGATGGGTGCTTATGCATCAATTGATATTTATCAAGATGTTGTTGAAAGTAATGCGAGAGAGGATGAACATATGATGCAATATTATTCTGATATTTGCAAAGAAAAACACATAAAATATAACTCTATTATTGTAGAAAATTGCTACGGTGTTGGGCATGACATTTGCGATTCAGTTAAAAAATGCCACGGCACCGTTATTATTTTGGGGCAAAGAGGTCTTGGAAAATTTAGTCGATTTGTACTAGGTAGCACAAGTGATTACGTCTTACACCATTCCAATATTCCAGTGATTGTGGTACCTGATGCAAAGCCTTCTGAAAGTTAAACCACGAATTACGTTTAAATTTTCTTCATTGAAGAAAAATCTTTAGTTCTTTTGTTTTTATAAAATGACTTGTTTTCTTTATATAATGACTTGTTTAATTTGTTTTATTTTACGAACTTTACGTCGTATTTACCCAATAAAAAGAAATTATTTTGTCTTAAATTTACGAGCATCGCATAAAATTTACTCAATAAAAAGAAATAATCAAAATTAATTGGGCAATGACGTCAGTGCATTACCTCAGACTTTTAAAAGCAAATAAATTACTTTATAAAAAAAGAAAGATGTATTTTTTGAATATATAAAACGCATTTGATTATTATTAGATAACAATTTATTAGAAATATTAAATCATTAAACGTCGCCTTTAATTGAGTTAAACTTTAAATTCAAATTTTTATCTAAAAGTATTGAAAATATCGATTTCGGTTTTCATCAGATCACTTATGCGTTTTCATATTTATAGCGAACTAATTTTTTTAACGACGTTAATATACCTGCACGCACATCGATTGATGCGAAGTGTATAAAAGCATATTGCTAAACCACAACTCTAAGCGATGCGAATTTTAAAAAAATTTTAAAGTTAAAAGAATATTCTAATCATTTTTTTTTTTAAATTGTTATTTAGGTACCCCAAAAAGACCTAACGGTTTTGTCACAGAGCACCGTGGAAGTGCATTTAACCAGAAAGTTCACGCCTCCTTCTTTACCGTGACGCAAAAATATCGTTTTTGTAATTGTGGGCCAATGAAGCTTTTTAGTAGGCTGAATATTGGCATTGTGATGGCAATGATCGGCTGCCCATCATACCTACGTTGGCGTTACATATACTTAACGTTGTTAGAAATATGTTGGTTTACTCTTGATTTTGAGTTGTAAGCGCAACGTTGATTAAATCAAGTGCTACGATTGGCGTAGCGTTGATATAACCTTTGTAGAAATATTACCTTGGATCCGTATTGACATGATCGACTGGCTGTCATGTCTACGTTGTCATTGTGTATATTCAACGTTATTAACGGTGCGTTGGTTTGATATTTAGATGTTGGTGCAAGGCAGGTCAAAACATGTGCTACAGTTAGCGACGCCTTACAATAACGCATTTTTACCGAGTTGATCTTTAAATAGCGTAACATTGTTGTAAGATTTTAGTTAACTGTTGCTTCTTATGATGCCAACGTTGCATTTGCGCAATAACTCAACGTTGGCATTATAAAAGTTTTACTTGTTGGCGCTACGCTGGCATACTATTGGTAATATATTATGAGAACTATTAAAAACTTATGAATTATGTAACACGACTAACATTGTAAACTGAAAAAAAAAATAAAATAAAATAGAAAAATAGAATAGAATTATATTAATATTATTAAGGTTTACGCCAAGCAGCAATTTAATAAAATCAAACATGCGTTATGAGTGTATAAAAACAATAAAGGAATTCACCTCCATTTTATATAAACACCGAATTTATTTTTAAATAAACTTTTAAAATTTATTAAAAATATCAATAACGGTAAACGTCAAGAGTTAGATTAAATATAGTGAGCGTTTATACGATCCTGTATTTCACTTACAACATTAAAAAATTACTAATAAAATTATATAAAATTTATTAACACACACCACGGCGGTTATTTTTGATAATTTTTCTCCCACTTGCTGAGGTTTTAAAAAATTATTGCTTTTACCATAGTCATAAAATACAATTTGTTATTATGACTATGCTTTTACGAGGTTTTAAAAAATTATTTAGTTACGGACGTAACGAAAATATATTTACTAAATTTGTTTAAAAAATTACAGAAAAGTACTCAGCGTAGTTAAGGAGAGATCCAAACAATTTGCATTTCTTAAATAAAAAATTTACATTTTTAAACTTCAATTTTTGAGTTTTCCGCTTATTTTCGACTATTACTGTTATATACTTTTAAAAAGTAGAATTTAAGCTTTTCTTATATAATATATTATTTTTTTATGAATCTTTATTTTAACGAAAGCATCAAGCAAAACAAAACTACCACTAAAATACATAAAACGCGACGGGGCAGCGTTATAAAAACAGCTGAAATAAATGTTAATTATTTACATTTCAAAAATGTCTCTTTTATTCGAAAGTAAAAAGACTCCTTGTTTACAGGATTAAAATATTCAATAAATGACTGAAAACCTCCTATTTTATCGTTCCGTAAACAGTAAAAACAGTAAAATCGAAGTTTTCACATTAGTTTTCACTCGCTGTAACTACGCTGAGTAGTACCATGCAAATTACCACACATATCTTTTGATACTTTTTTTTTTTTCTAAAAGGTTTTTGCTAAAAGAAGATTTTAAAAAGTCATTTTCTTTTGAAAAAATTGATGTTTGCTTACTCCCAATATAACTTTGCAAACACAAATCTGATTGGTTTGTATTAAAAGAAAACTCATACGAAAATTAAATATAGGCTAAACATGAAGGTTTAGTTGAGGGTTGGGTTGCATATAGGGAAAACTCAAATATAATTTTTTTGTTTATAGTACACTATATATACAAGTGCTATATGAATGAAACAAACAAAAAACCATATATATATATATATATATATATATATATATATATATATATATATATATATATATATATATATATATATATATATATATATATATATATATATATATATATATATATATATATATATATATATATATATAATATATATATATATATATATATATATATATATATATATATATATATGTATATATACATATATATATATATATATATATATATATATATATATATATATATATATATATATATATATATATATGTATATATATATATATATATGTATATATATACATATATATATATATATATATATATATATATATATATATATATATATATATATATATATATATATAAATATATGTATATATATATATATATATATATATAAATATATATATATATATATATATATATATATATATATAAATTAAAACAACTATATTACATTATATACATAAAAATATGAATATACACACTATACATACAGTTTGTATGTATAGTGTGTATGTTCATAAAAATATGAACATACACACTATACATACAGTTTCTAATACATATAAAAATGGAATATTGATCAAGTCATGACTACGTATGCAGAGTATTACTACACAAACGATCCCACACACCATAATTACCACCATCACTACCTTATTGAATAAATTCCATATTGCCATTTCTACAATCTCACTGTGTTGCAATATTTTTGTTTCACAAACAAATAAAATTCATTGAAGAATGACACAATGATGATGACTAAGCTTTAGTCGAAGACATATAATAAGATTAAGACTATAACTTATGAGCTGAATTTTATGCTTTTAACATTTACTTTATTACTTTATTATTAATGTAATTTTGCTTTAATCATGCTACTCCAGAATATAAATTTTTGATATTTCTGGGTATCTTTCTTTGCAAAGAAAGATACCCTAGAAAGATACCTATACCTTATTATTGTGTAAAAGTTAGGTAATTGAATGAATTAAAAAATATATAAATATTTATTAAATATGTTAAATTTATATTTTTATTTATAATTACTAAATATACAATATTTAAAAACTAAGTATATAACAATTTAAACTTTTTTTGAATCAGGAAAATATTTAGTGGAATAAAAAAGTTGTCATTAATTTGTGCTAAAGAAAAATATTTATGCAAAAGTTTATTGAAATAAATAGTAATTTTTTTTATAATTTATCTGGAACTAAAATTTTCCAGATATAAAAAAGTTTAATTTAAAATTTATTAACAAAGTTATACTTTCTACCCTACCAAACGTATGATATAATATCAATATTTAAATTTTTACGCATCAATTAATAACGTAACACCGACAATAAAAAATAGTTTCTAAGTCATCTTTTTGATTGAAAAAATAACCAAGTAACAAACTCTTAGATAGCCTTCATCCATGATAAATCATATGATCTGAAAATTTCCGCATGGATTCCTAATATATAAATCTACAATTCCAGTTTACAGCATATATCTTCTTTTAAGTGATGTTGTAAATATATTTGTATTTTGTAAAAAAACAGACACTTTGATAGTTATTTTGCTAGAAACTACCATATAATTCTAATTTAGACATATAGTTGTAAACCGGAATTTGAGATCAACTAGAAATCTCTTTTTATTAGTAATAATATTAACATTTAATAACGTCTTCATGTAGTCTATTAAACTGATTATTTTTAGTTTTAGTACTAGTTTTTAAAAGAAATTGAATTTCAACATCAATATAACTTTTAACTAGCAGATTTTATAAAAAAAACGAATGATATATGTTCGAACTTTATTTTCTATTTAACGAAATATACTTAAAATACTATTATATAACCCTAGTTTAATGCTAAAGATTATATTTGTTGCAATTTTTTATAAAGCAATAATCATTTGCGGACGTTTTGGATCAAATTTCAATAAATTTTTGTATTTTTTAAAAAAAGCATTTGGGAGAAAAATAGTACCGTGCACAAAAAAAGCACTACTTATAACATGACGCTTGCTAATGCCAACAGCATTTGCAAGAGCTATTCAAAATATCAATTAAAAATGTGGCAACGTGACTGATTATCCTGTGGCCCATTGAAAAATTTTTCAGAATTTTCTTTCAAGTTTTATTCATTCGTTAGGAATTTTTTCTTTATTTCTTTGGAATTTAAATATTTGTTTATTGATGAGAAAGTTCTTTAAGTTTTATTTTTTAATTATTAATTAAATAAACTTTTTTAATGAAATAAATAAGAACAGCCATAACGCAATAGTTAGAGCCCTTGCCTCAGTAGCTAAAGATCCGTGGTTCAACATCACCTCTGGGCAAATCTTATAACATCGGTAAGGAAGGACGCGCGAACATCCTTTCAAATGCTCTTCCGCGGTGCTCTGTGATAAGACCGTAAGAACTTTTTGGGGCACCTAAAACAAAAATTGCGTGGCTCGGGTCAACTTTAAACTAAGTGAGGGGATGCTAGTTTACATCTCCACACGTAGTGTGAAGTTGACTCCAACCACGGTGCTAGTTGTGGTCTGCCGTACAGAATGGAATCTTTAATGAGAACTTATCAAGCATTCACAAGGTCTGGTGACCTCGAGAAAAAAAGTCATTTTAAAATGATGACAATGAGCCAATTATTTCTTACTCCATTACTCATTTTGGAATTGATATTACGGATGGAACTACATCTTCTTCTTAGGGTTATAAACAATTTTTTCAAAGTGAATTTAAATTTCTAAAAATATCTTTTTTTACATTTATAGAACTTAATTTTTTATTTTGGATGGGAAGGCGGGTACGGGAGCCCTCCCCCCCCCTCCTTCTTCAAAGAAGATGGTTTTTAAGCTACAGTCGGTTTTTTACAAGTTTAGTCCGCTAGTTTTTTTTTTTTTGTTAGAAGTCAGTAGGTATTTTCTAAGTATTCACCTCCCCTCCCCCCGCCCTTTCTTATTTTATTTGTAGAATCGCCAATGAGCTAAACCTAAATAAGTTCTTTTGAATTTAAAATATAATTTAAAATTCTTGAATTTTTAAATTATGAAACAGAAACCCTATTTTAAAAAATAGTTTATTGGTATTTTGTTTAAAAATTTTCTTAACAAAGGAAAATTCCTTATCATTATTTTACTAACCATTTATTTACATTAGTTTTGTTTTAAATGTACGTTTATGAATTTCTTTATTCTTTTATGAATATCTTTGTTTTAAAACGTACCCACAAAAAATACTCATTAAACACACACGCTTTCAGAAAAATTCGTAGGTGGTGCACTGCTTTTAAAAAAAACTTACACATAATAAAAAACTAGCTAAAAAAACAGAAATTGAAAAGTAGTTTTAAAGACTAAAAATAGATTAAAACTAGAGATTTTAATTCCACTTTTACTTTTTAACTTTTAAATACTTTTAATGTCTTAAATGCTTTTAATGTCTTGAATGCTTTAATGTCTTTAATGCTTTTAAAGTCTTCATGCTTTCAATGTCTTAAATGCTTTTCATGTCTTACTTTTTGTCTTTAGGCCGGGTGAATAAAAATGAGCAATTGCTTCTTTTCAGTAATTGGTCAGCTTTACGTGAATAAAAACTTTAGAAATTTTGGTAAAGTTTTTATTCGCGTAAAGCCGAACAACTACTAAGTAAATTGCTGAATAAAAGTTTGAGCAAAACTCCTAAAGTTTTTACTCACGTAAAGCTGACCAAATACTGAGTAAAAGCAATTGCTCATTTTTATTCACCTGGCCTTTTGAGTTTACTGAGTTTACTTTGAGATTACTTTGAGACTACACAGTATTTACTGTAAATAACCATGATTATTACTTTACAAAGTTAAATTTGACTAATGAAAAACAAAATAAAATATTTGTAATCGCAGTATCACAGATATAAAAAATAAAGAAGATATAAAAGTTGAAGAAGTAAAATAAAATATTATTTTATCATGTCTTTTATATAATCTAAATGATTAAGTTATATAAAAGATATGAGGCATGATAAAAATAAAAATATAAAACATAACATGTGTAACTTTTAATTCGTTTGGGGTATAACAACTACTGGAATAAGTGAATGATGTAAGACGTAATCACTTGTGCTACCAAGTAAAAAACGACTGAATTTTCCAATACCTCTTTGGCCTAAAATTACAATGTTACCCATACATTTTTTGACTGAATTGCATATTTCGTAACCTGTTCCATGACAATCGTCTACAATAATACATTTGTATTTAATTTTGTGTTTTTCACAAAAATTTGTAAAGTAGTTAACAATATTATTAACATCTTTAATGCTTTTGTCCACCATCTTTTTGTAAGCTTCAACAGGAACATAAGCGCCCATTACGCCTATTGGCACAACCCTAGGAACATTGTAAACGTGAATAATTACTAAAGTATCGTCTTTTCTATGCATGTTCTCAATGTACCAAACAAAAGCATGTTTACTAGAATCACTTCCATCAACTGCTAAACAATTAATTTTCCCTGCATCTTCCATCTTGAATAACTTTAAATTTTATTTTTTGAACCTTAATCAAATTTTTTAAGTAACTTAAACTAAAATGATATTGCAATTAGAATACATCAACAACAACAAAATTATCAAAAAATATCCTCGTTAAAATGTTGTTACACGACTGGTTTTTTAGTAACAATTTGTGGGAATCAATTATAAATAATTTATGTGGTTATTTTATGTGACCAGAGGCAAAGATTTGTTGCTTGTAGTAAAAAAAAACTATTTGTGGTTTGTAATATTTTCTTTAATACGTAAAACAAGAACTTAAATTTTTCTAATACCATTCATATATATATATATATATATATATATATATATATATATATATATATATATATATATATATATATATATATATATATATATATATATATATATATATATATATATATATATATATATATATATATATATATATATATATATATACAGCGGTGGCCAAAAATTAAAGAAAACTCATTTTTTAGTTGGTTTCTTAATCTTTAAATCAAAAATAAGAAGATTCTAATTGACATATTAAATTTTTTTTTTAATATTTTGTTAATTAAAACATTCGGATTAAAATGGTATAATTTTTTTAATTTAATTCTAGTTAAAAAGCGTTTAACTTATTAAAAAACTGATGAGTACTTATAAATCTTTTTTAAATAAATTGGACAAAATTTAACGACCATCTTTAATTTGTACTTATTAAAAATAATAATCGATTATTTTTTTTACTGTCTTAATTGCTTATTACGTTGGCTATAAAGTAAAATGTTAAAACCTGAGTTTTGATATCAAATAAACATTTATTTTTTGAATTGCAATAAGGATATAAAAGTATTGCAAAAATGCGTGCAAAGATCGAAGAAAAAAGGCAGAAACGCGGCTCTTATATTAAAAGAAGAAGGCTATAACATCAGACAAATAGCAGAAAAGCTCGAAAGGTCTCACTCTTGCATTATTAACATAATTCAACGATACAAAGAGGCCGGGTCAATTAATGATTGTCATAGGACTGGACGCAATAAAATTTCAAATGACCGTGATGTTCGCTCGTTAGTGAGATAAATGAAAGAAAACAGACGAGCATCATCTACAGACTTGTCTACAAAATGGACACTGTCAAATGGTCTGAAAGCAAGCCCTAGAAATGTGCAAAGAGTTCTCCACAATTTAAATTATTTATGGCGTGCTGCTGCAAAAAAACCACGCTTAAACAAAAAAAAAAAAAAAAAAATTGCCAGGTACGAGTGGTGCAAACTACATAAAAATTGGTCAACAGATCAGTGGAGCCGTGTGGTCTTTAGTGATAAAATGAAGTTGAGGTAGACAACAGAAAAGGTCGCGTAATGTTGCGTAGACTTCCAAGCGAACGGTTCGATAAATCATGCATTTTGAAACGAAGAAAACAAGGCAGTGGTTCATAAGGCATTTGGGCCTGTAGGAGTGCCTGTTGAGTTGACGTTTTTCATTTATTCGATGGTAGACTCAACAAAGAAAGGTACATCGAAATTTTAGAAAATTTGCTTATTCCTAGCATTGATTTATGACAGTTGCAAGATGGATATACTTTCCAGCAAGCTAATGCACCGTGTCGTAAAGCGCATGTTGTTAGCGATTGGTTAGCAATTCTAATAAAATTCAAGTGCTTCCATGGCCTGCCAATAGTCCAGACTTAAATCCAATAGAGAATTTATGGTCGTGGCTTGATCAAGCTTGGTAAAGAACAACTTTACAATTTGGAAGATTTGAAATCTTCTATCTCTCATCATTTAAATAATGTGCCAGATGAAGTAATCAAAACTTTAATGATGTCAATGCCAGAACGAGTACAAGAGTGCTTGAAAACGAATAGAGGAACAACACGTTTCTAAATTATTTTTTTATTGCTTTTTGAAATATTTTTGAAACTGGTCTTTAAATTTTGTCCAATTTTTTTTTCTATTTATATTTATTACTAGTCAGTTTTTTAATTTTTTAACATTATTTTGTAAAAAAGTTATAAATTCTTTTATAATAAATATAAAGTAAAATAAAAATTCTTTCTAAAAATGTTTTTCTTTTTTTGATATCTTTTTTCAAAATAAAATTATACTAAGGTTAAAAACAAATTTTGAAAAAATAATGAGTGGTCTTTTATTTTAGGCCACCGCTGTATATCCCAGTGGGCACGGGACGTAAAAAAGACGTCCTTAGGACGTTCAAATCGCGTCCGTCCGTCCCATTAAAAATCTAAACGTCTTTTTTGCGTCTAATAATTTTTTCGTCCAAAAAATATCCAGAATGCTTTATTAAATCAAAAAAAAATCAGTTAAATAACGCAAGCGCCAAAACTTCCTAAAATTTTTAAGTAACGCATTTTTTTTCAAATATAAAAGAAGTCTTTTTACAACGACAAATAGACACGTTCTAGCTAATTTTTATTTTTGTTATCAATTACTTGAAAATTGTGGTAATGTTGATACAGGTAATGAAATTGTTACAGATAATGGAAGAAACGGTTTGAAACTGAATATATGCTATACTATGTATATATATACTTGATATACTATTAGTATAGTATTGCTACATCAAGAACCAAGTTCTAACAATTTCAAAGATTTAAACATCTCATATAGAATCGAATTTTTCAATAGAAAAACCTGTTAATGATACATAGAACAATTATCCTGATAGTTCTTTGAATTCAATGTCTTTATTCGACTATATTGTGCTATTCTATAATGGGACCAGTACATTAGTTAACCTTTTTGAAATATTGCCAAATCAAGGTTTGGAACTTCCCAAAGATGCAAGGAGAATTTTAAAAACACCTTATGAAAAGCGACTTATAGACAGGTTCTTGCTAATTTATATATATATATAAATATATATATATATATATATATATATATATATATATATATATATATATATATATATATTTAAACATTTAATTACTTGAGAATTGTGTTAATATTGATACAGATATTCAAATTGGGTATATGATATACTATATATATATACTAAGTATATACTTGGCACTTGATTAGTATTTCAAGTATAATAATTGATATACTATATCAGAAACCGAGTTTTAACTGTTTGAAAAACTTAGACATTGCAGAATCTCATGTAAAGTCATATTTTTCAAAAGGAAAACCTATTAATAATACAAAGATTTTATGCTGATAATTCAATATAATTGAATATCTTTAATTAACAACTTTTAAATTGTGCTATTCAAAATAATTGGACCAGTACATAAGTTAATAAACTTTTTGAAATATTACAATATCAAGGTTTGGAACTTCGCTAACAACTAATTACTTAACTTAAGGAATTAGTTATTAGTAAAGTTCAAAAGTTTTCACAGAAAAATAAGTCTAATTGAAAAAATTAAACCAGTCGTAACAGTTATATAAGGGTAGAAAATTTCCTTTACTCTGAAAGAAATTTTCTACCCACCTGTCTCTTATACAATTGTTATGACTTGTTTATTATGTATATGTGTATATATATATATATATATATATATATATATATATATATATATATATATATATATATATATATATATATATATATATATATATATATATATATATATATATACATATACATATACATATACATATATACTTATATATACATCTATATATATATATATATATATATATATATATATATATATATATATATATATATATATATATATATATATATATATATATATATATATATATATATATATATATATATATATATATATGTATATATGTATATATATATATGTATATATGTCTATATATATATGTATATATATATATATATTATACATATATATATATATATATATATATATATATATATATATATATATATCAGGCTTGGTTGGGAAGCGGGAGCGATCGCTCTCGAATACTGACCACGGAAATTACATTTAGTTGCGTAAAACTGGCCAGGTTTTTTAGTCATTTTGAGAACATTTAAGTTTATTTATGAAACAAAAAATTTTTGTTTTACGGACTACATAGAAACATTAAAAGTTTGAATGTTCTCAAAACATCTTTGTGCGAAAGAGTAAAAAGAATATTTGCGAACACTAAAAACCCGCCAAATTAACGAACAAACTAATTCTATTGGTTTAAAAAATACGCTGATTAAGCGAAATAAAGTTCTAGAGTATTCTGTTAAAATGTTTTAGAAATTGTATTATTCACGATTTGTTACGTTTTGAGATTTCTAGAATTTTTTTTTTTTTTTTTTTTTTTTTTTTTTCATTTACTCCCAACAAGGCTGCAAGCAACCACTATTAAGTTGGGAGTTACTAGAAAAAAAAAGAACAGAGTTATAGAGCAAGGAAACGGTTGACAGAAGACTTGAAAAGTTGAAGGTTGTATGAGTCAGGAAAACATGAAGATGGGAGAGAGTTCCAAAGGATTGAAGTGCGGGGAAAAAAATTAGATGAATAAAAGTTTTTAGAGCATGCAGGGACAGATACAGTAAACGAATGAGACTTAGCTGAATGACGAGTAAAACGAGAATGAATTTTAGTTGATGGAACTAGAGATGATAACTCCTTTGAGCAGTGACCACGATATTATTTGTAGAAAAGAGAAAGAGATGCAACTTTACGACGATGGAAAAGAGGTTCAAGCTTAGCAGATAGTCCAGGTCCAACAACATTTACAATGCGTTTTTGGACCTTGTCAAGAAGAGAAAGTGAATCATTAAAAGAACCAGCCCAAATATGACAACAGTATTCCATACAGGGACGAATAAGAGATTTGTAGAGGTAGAGAATGGAATCAGAAGTAAGGAAATGGCGAGCACGATAAAGAGAAGCAACCTTAGCAGAAGCTAATTTAGCAATCGATTGTATATATGGTTTCCATGAAAGGTCAGTAGTAAGCGATAATCCAAGAAGACGTAAAGAGGAGCCATTCATTAATATAGGAATGTTGACCATATTACGGTATTTGTTTGCAGTAAGCAACTGTTTTAAGAATATA